ATTTCTCAACCAGCCTAGTGCTCTAGCAGTTGCACCATGAACCACTATCAACAATGAGAGAACATGTACTGTTTAAAACTTTGCATCTAGTATGAAATATGTTCTTCCTTTGTGATAGAGTATCACTAGGTTGGTTGTTGAGGAGTCATATTTAGCCTTAACATTTATATACCCAAAACAAAAAGAATTAGGTTTTACAACTTTTTCCCTTTCCTCTACCAAATCTCGTCACTAATAGAGTTTATTTTTTATTATTTATTTTTTTATGTGGGTTCCACTTATCTTTTCTTTCTCCTCTCACTTTGCTTCTTTTTCAAATAATTTAAAACTTCATTCTCTTTTTTCCTCTAAAAAAAACTTCATTCTCTTTTTCGTTTCTTTCTCTCCAAAATCATTCAAACCAAACATATGGAAAGAGTTGCTAACCACTAGGTTAAGAAAAATTCTTAATTAGGAACTAGTTATCAAACATAACACAAGTCAAATGATAAGTAAACATCATAAGGCAAGGAAGTATGAATAAGTTGACACCCTATGATTGCATAAGCTACTCGCTTAGAGGGCAACTGTTCCAATCCTACCCTAACTAAACCTATAGTCACATATGCCTAAACTGGGTTATAAGCAATCATTATGGTCTAGTATATCCAAGTTGTTAGAAAGGCAACCAACCTAGCTCGAAAGGCCCAAGTCGATAGAATTTGGAAATAGCTAGCATAAGGTAAGGAGTCTACTAATGACTTGGGAATCATTCAAAAGTCCTTGATTCTTTTGACACAATATAATTGCTCATTCATATAGTGAATTATTATGTTATCTTATTGAATCTTGTTATATCGAGTTGGAAAATCTCAAATATTTGAGTGAGATTGTTAGAAAAATATGGTATTTATATATTTTAGTAAAATGTTACACAAAATCCATAAAAATATATCTTATAAAATAATTCATCAAAATTTATATGTTCTTTAATATCAAATTAAATTTTTCAAGTTGTAAAAAGTCTTAATAGAATACCACCAAACTTTTATACTCTTTAAAAAAATGATATTCTTTATTGAATAAAGCCTCTTTCTATAATTTAAAAGTTTTAATTGAATGCTACAAGAATTTTTTTTACCAAATTTTTTTTTTTAAAATATCTATCTAATACACCCTTATATATATGTTCTTTCTCGTATAGAGATGAGTTAAGAACAATTAAAGTATATGAAAAAAAATGGGGAAGAAGAAGTTAACCAGCTTTACCCTCTCAAAATAGTTGTTTAAATATGAATTTCTCTTAATAGTTACTATCTTCACATATAAGCATAATAGTATTTATGTTTTGGCCACAACACCTCAAGTATCTTTTGTGTCAACTAATGAAAGCTAGTTCGAAAGCATAAACACCAGTGTCAAGAGAAGTACTATGAATCAAATATAGATAATATATCCAATTTACAAATAATTTGTTACATGGAGGCAAATGGTCCTGGAATTGAAATAAATGAATTGTATAAGTACAACATTTACAATTATACATACATAAACCATCGAGAGAGACAACAACATTTCAATAGCTGATGTCAAAATATTTTGGATTTGAAGGGAAATGATATTCCACATGTAACTGTGTCATGAAATAATCATATTAGAGGAGATAAAAGATAACGAGAATTATTAAGAGTCACACATTCCATAAATAATGCTTCTAGTTGAAATCGTAACAATATATATATATATATATATATATATAAACAAAAAGTGCAATGTTCTTCAAGAAGATCAACATCAACTCAAGACTATTAATTGAACAATCATTTGTGAAGATACCACATTATCAAAGACTTTGTGTACTCTTGATGTATAAATACACATAAAAAATAAATAAACAACTTACAAGATGGAATGTAATTAAGTATTTAACTAATCACTAAAGTTGACACATTCTCATGACTAATCTTATAAATTAAAACACCATCTAAGACTTGGTCAAAGTATTAAGCCACTAATTCCACCAATAGAATCACACACAAATTTATAGTTTAATTTGGCTCCTTCTTGCTCTAATCCAGCCACCAAGCTGCAGCCTCACAAGGTGTTTCACTCCTCTTTTATAAGCAACCTTGACTTTGGTCACTCCTAGGTGTGGTCAAGAGTCTTACCACCAAGAGAGAACAAACTCCCTAAGCAACCACCAAAGCCTTCAAGTTGATTTCCTTTGACTTGGCCTCCTACACCTTTAAGAAGAACTCAACCACCTTCAAGACTGGAATATTAGTGTAAAAATTGAAAATGCACAATTTAGAATGGCTACACCAAATGGTAGAATGAATTGAGACAAACTAGAAGGAGTTTCACAAAAAATGACAAGCAACAATTAAGGCTAATTTGGAAAGCTAGCACACAAAAGATATCCTATCAAAGGCACTAGAATGGATTACAAAACAAAAGCTAAGATTAGAAACAAAAATAAGACACAATTTATGTGGCTGGACCGAAAATATGTAAGCACACACACACCAAAATCGAGAGCTATGTTTACTAGATTTTTCACTCCTTTTGGCTTTTTCTTTTGCTATTTTCTTTATTTTCTTTTTGCAAAATATTTTTCACTTCTTTTTCTTTGATTAATCAGGAGTTTAAATGCCTTTTGATCACTTGTAAGTCTCGGTTTTAGGTTAGAAAAACTGCAGCAAAAATTTCACACAAAACAAGAGGTGTTCACAAGCATGTTTTCACTAGTGCTTCACAATTTTGTAGTATTTTTAGGTCAAATTTTCAAGCACTCATTCTTTTGTTTTTCTCATGCATTTAGAACACTTACACCTCTATTTTGTCTCTGTTTTAAGGTTCAAAAAATTGCAATAGGTTTCAGCCACACAACAAGACACAAAGAAACCTAATAGGAAAAGTGTTTAACAATTTTTTTTGACAAAACTTTTAACAAGACATAATAGAAACCTAACTCTAGGAAATTTTCTAGAACTAATAGCAAATTAAGAACTCAAACATGTAAAGAAAAAGCACATATAGTAAAGGTACAGATTCAATAAGCAAAAGACACACAAATTTCGGACACAACAACACAAAACAAAAATTAGGTCAAACAAGCTAGTCTAGGAAGTTTCAACATACAAAGGACTACACATGACTTTCTAAGAACAAACAATTGATTCAAAAACAAAATCTAAGCTCAATGCATGTTGTCTAATCACGGACACATGCGAATGAATGGAGAAGACTCAAGCAAATACAAAAACGCACAAGTTCAAGAGTACCTAAAAACACAAAACAAAAATTGATTCACAAGAATAGGAACAAGCAAAAATGAATCAATTAACTCATACTTGACATATAGGATCCATCAAACAATGTATTAGAACTAGATCCATACAACAAACACAAGTTTATGACATAGAAAAGGAAGATTAGACAACACGGATTCAAGTAGGAAAAGTTAGAAACAAAAACCTCAAGAGCACTAGGCTCTAGATACCAAAAATGATGGAGCTACTTGGAGAAGAATGTTGATTCTTCAAGTTCTCCATGCAAGTACCGAAGAGACTCTTGAGGAAACCTTGGAATGAAGGTCGAAACTCCTTGAAGCAAGCTCCAATGGAGTAGAAGTACTTGAAGTGATTCGGTTACTCTTAGCTTGTTGTAGAAGTTTGAGGAACCAAGTCAAAGGTAGAAGAACCTTTGAGAGAAACCTTAGAGAGAGAGTTATCTACGGTTTTGGGGACTCTTGAGTGAGAGAGAAATCTGATTTCTATTCTCAAAATGTTCAAAAGTGAGTACATGAGAGGTAATTACAAATATATAGGGAGAGGTAGCTTCTAGGAGAAGCTAACCTTAACCATGGTTCACTAGGAACCATGGTAAGGTAAGCTTAACTTCCCACGGTTTAGCAAGCTTGTAGGAGAAGCTAACCTTGACCATGGTTCACTTAAGAACCATGGTAAGGTAAGCTTAACCTACTAAGGTTTAGAAGCTTGCAAGGCAAGCTTCAAAAACCTAGAGGTGTAGCTTAGAAATTCGGCCAAGGAGGAAGAAGATGAGCTAGGCGGCCTTGGTTCAAATTGCTCCATGATTTAATTTGAAAATTATTGATTTGGTTTAGTTAGGTTCATCATATGATGATGAGACCTAGCTAAATCAAATCTATGAAAAATTAGGAGCAAAATGAGTCCAATATGCAAAATTTTGCCTAGGCCCAATTTCTAAATACACTCCCTGGCTTTGTTAAATGCCACCCCTTTTTCCCTACTGAAAAAATACAAAATGAATGTATCAACTAGGGAGGTTAAATGGAGTTAAACTCTCCAAGTAACCTACCTTAAAAACAATATACAAACACTAGAAAAAGCAAATAAAGTGTCTCACAAATACAAAGACAAAAATAACCTATACAAGAGACTACGTATAAACTGTACAATATACACAAGTAGAATTAGGCCTTCTCTTCATTATAGAGCATTCCAAGTGAAGAATACCTTGGGCTTGACAAACTCACTAGTATCTTTTTAATCTTTTGTTTATATTTCAAAAAGATTGAATTTTTAAAATTTCAAAATCTACTTTTTTATTTTTCAGTTATACCTTATTAAATAGTTATTATAATAATTATTTTTAACTAAATAACAAAGAAAATACTCTCTTTGGTCATAGTATAGAATATGTAAAAGTTTATGTATATTTATCTTAAATATAAACAAAATATCAATATATTACATTTGATTTAATGATATCAACATCAAAATATTATTTTATTTAATTGAAAATTTGAGATCATATTTCTAATTGTCTTCTTTAATCTTAATATCAAATTTTAATAAATGATGATTTAGGAAAATAAATAATTCCTTAAATAGAATTAGTGAAATTAAATGATGTTAACTAATATTTTTAAGTGTTATTTAATTTTATTTTTTATTTTTACCTATTTGATGTTGGAGTAGTATTAATTATAATTTTTTTTTTGAGAAAGTAGAATGCACAATCAAAGGGCATACCAGAATTAGTTCCACAACTTCTATTATTCTAATGTACACAACTTCCACTTTCAATAGAACTATATCACCACATTAACTCCAAAGAATCCAATATCTATCAACCAATCAACATAACTAGGTACAATTACATATCAGATTTAACCAAAACACAAGCATCACCTCCCATTCTCCCACCCAAAATTCTTGTAGTTTTAATTTACATCTTGAATTTTTTTTCTGACATTAATACTATGGAGCCAATTCTGTTGACTTGCTCCTAGGCTCACTGCTTCTGTCACCGGTGATCCTGTCTTAAACTTCAGGACCTTTGTTCCACTTTGGAGTAAACACACACTATAGTACTTTAATTTGGAAATCGCTATCATATTACTCCTTGAAATTAATAAATTGTCGAGTAAGTCCTTAAAATGTTAAATAAATCTTTAAATTTAATTACTTTATGTTATTTTGACCTCTAAATACATATCAATGATTTAATGTTATCACTTTAATCACACATTTTTTAAGTTTTGGATTAATATGATTATCAATTGACACTTTTATGGACTTATTCAACAATTTTTTAGTTTCATGAATTAATATGAAAATGCCTTTCAAATTCAAGTACCAAAGTGTGTTTTCTCTCCACTATCTTTGGTGTCTCTTTCCCACAAAGAGTGCCTTAGAGATGAAGCAACCTGTCTCTGCCCCCCTTCTGTGTAAAGCATCCTGCTCAAATCCACTGGCATATCACCTATTTCACTACCCTTGCCATGTTCATCATCATTGGCAAACTCATCTGCATAATCACTTTCAAACTCTTCCTCGGCATCATTGTACACTGGGGCCCCTAGTTCCAGGTCTCCTGCTGTTTTTCTCACCACAGGGCTTAGGGATTCAATAGCCCTTCTTCCAGATGCTTCTGATGGTTCCTTCGGAATTGGAATCTTAGACCTGAATTTGTTCTTGGATGGAGGAATGACAGAGCAGAATATTTCTTTGAAGTTCTCAGCTACTCCTTTGTCAAAAGGGTTGGCTTGTTGGTCATACCGGTATCTAAAATTTTCATAAGTTGACTGCACATAAAACAAAGAATGGTCATTAACATGTGTGAGAAAATCATATCAAAATGCACATTACTCTTTCATATATAAAGCATGCATACCACAACATATATTATATTAGCAAAATGCTAATAACACCTCTTTGTTGTTAGTTGAATTTAAATGAAAATTACTAAATTTTGCGGACACTTCTTATTTAATGAGTTTCTCTAGTAATTTTATAATTTCTAATAAATTTTAACCACCAATAAATTGTGTATTAGAAGAACTGTAATAGAAAATGTGTTCCTAGCCCCTTTCGTTACATTAAGGTTTCCAAATGTGGAATGCAAAGGATGATCAGAATTCAGAAACACCCAGAAAAACAGTAAATAAGGCCACATTGAAGGTCAAGGGTATGTGAGTTAAATGGTGTCCAAACCTGGTTTTTGCTGATTAGATATGTGTGGAAAACAGTGAGGCCACCAACAAACCAGACAGAAATGAAGGAGTATAATATTAGTGCAATGGAAGCAGGAGTTTTGATCATTGCTTTCCAAATTGATATCTCCTCTGAGTCCATGATCTTCTTAATGTAGACCCAGCAAAAGCCATGAATGTACAAACAGAGAAGGGTTGCAGAGAAAACAAACATGTAGTAGAACCGGTAATTTCGCTGCAGCCAAGTACATACAAGCAAAGAAGCCAAGAAAAGAAATTGACTTAGCAACTTTATGATCATATCTACTACTAAAATTATACTAATTGTTTTTGTTATTGTGCTTGTGTCATGAAGTGATGTTTGAGTATGGAAGCAGACAATACAAAAATACAAGCAAAGAATCCCACATTTCTATCTTTTTAAAACCTAGGAGAAAAATGTATTCAAGAATATAATATGGTCATCATACAAACCAATAGTAATAACTAATAATTCATATAGAGACGCAAAACACAGATTGAACTCGAGCTATGATGATTCTACAATCTATGAACCATTCCTATCCCTAGTTCTATAGGCTATAGCAATTTCTGTTGTTTGTAAATCACATGTAATTTTAAGAACTACTTAATTCTTTTCATCACGTACTACAATATTATAGGCTTTCTTCCTCCAAGCACTAAAGATTGTCACAAGTAGTATATCTGTAGTCCGTATTAGACATGCCTGCTAACTGCATATCCCTTTTCAATAGTAAGTTTAATTCTACTCATCTTTTTTTTTTTTTTAGTAGTTGACTGTTAGCTTTTGATCACACTAGAATTATTTGTTTGGGGATTTCACAATTGCAAGAAGAAGTTTTTATTCAATAGTTGTAAAGTAAAAGTAAAACAAAGACAAAAGAACAAACATTACAGAAAAAAAAGACATTAAAATCAAAACACAATAATTGTTGTTCTAAATCATAATATGATAGTAATAGAAAAGGACTCTGAGGTGGTGGCTTTTGACTAGAGCTATCTAACGAACTAGTCCGGTGGACTAACTGTGAGAAATATGTTAGTCCTGCATGACCTAACTTTTAAACGGATCATGTTTTGTTTGATCCAGACAAAATATGATCGCTTTATTCATTTTTAATAATTTAACATGTAATTTAAAAATATAAAAAAAACATTGGACTAAACAAGTTTAATACCTTTCGATTAATCTCTATTGGGTCAACCTAGCTTTATTAGCCCATTGAACTGGGCCAAATTAGCCCGGTCTTTTTCAAGTCTAAAAATTAACAACCTGAGTTGTTAGACTTGATAGGTCATAACGAATCAGACTAATTTTGACAGTTCTACTTTTGATTAACATCAATTTGAAATTGAGATATGTAAACATTAGTCCATTACCAATCCAATGCACTGCCCCACCCAGGGGCAGTGATGATCAAATCTCTCTACACAGTTATCACACACTGAACAATGAGAACAGCGGGGAGGTCTATAGAGCATGCAAGTATCACAATATTTAATCTTCACAGAAACTCCATTGACGATGACTTCCTTTGATCGCGGAAAATGTAGCCGTGGAGTTTGTTCATTGTTGATGTTGGCACTCCCATCAGATTCATCCATCATCAGTGGGGGCTGAGCATTACGGGGCACTATGCCAGGATCTCTTCCTGAGGTCAGCACAAGGGTGATCAGAACCTGAGAATATACGTTTTAATACTTTAGAATATATTTGTATTCAAAATGTCATCTAACGCTAACTCTAAAACTGGTATGTTTAAGCTACATTCAAATTTCAAAATGTGATCTACGTCAAAATGAGAAGCCTTGTGCTAGATTATTTGAATATTTGTATAACCATTATGTATCAGAGCTGCAAGCACGATTGGTGCAACTAGTATAAGTTTTTCAATTATTTGTTTTTGGGTCTTACAATGACACATTATTTTTATTTTATTAAACAATTTTTTTTATAGTGCAATTGTATAAAATTCAATAAATGGATCCCACAAACTATCTCTTATTTTTAGTTCTCGTTTTTGTTTTGATCCAAAATCCTAATTTTGGGCATGAGAGGGATGTGACATATGAACAGAATGCTCCTTAGAAGACATGTAATCCTCTTTTTGTTCATAGAACTTTCTTGTATGTGTCTCAAGTTTTGAAAGTGGAACACAAGATTTTACACCTGATAATTATATCAGAACCTAACACGTTTTGCTTCACTTCAAATTGATATTTGATACTCCCTTGCTCCCTTTTCCCTCATCCCCTTTCCCCTCAAATAAATACCAAATTCTCTCAACAATTGGTTTTTGTGTTTCAAGCCTATTTCTTTATGTCTAGTCATCCAAGATTCTCTTAGTAAGATTTTCAAGAGAGAAGCAAGTAGCAGAGTTTTAAAGTTATGGGTATTGATTTTGTGCGAGGTTGACCCTTCAACAATCTGTATCTCGAAGCAAGATAGCAATAGTGATTCACATATAATATAACATTGTGATTCTACTAGAACATAACATTAGGGGATAAGAGCAATTACCGAGCATATCAAACAAATCACGTACGGTATCATCAATTAATGAAGGAGGCAATGTTTTTGGGAATAAAAGTGACTTACGAACATTGTGAGAACAATAAGTATGATCAATATTGAATATCCCCAGTGATGAGGAAAATCATCCAACAGTTTCCTCGCCACAAAAGCAGAGAAAACAGCAACAGGGGCAACGATAAGAAACATCGTCAAAAATATAGATTTCACATCAGGTCCAAATATAACTCTCCCTCCAAGACAAAATTCCTGAAAAAATACAGCCACCACGAACAATTCAAAACACAAAAAATAACAGTACAAAAGCTTAATCTTTTGTATACAATAGCCAAGTAATTTTTAAGATGCGAGTTTTCTAGTTATGCAACATGAAAAAGTCAATATGTATTACCCTTTAAAATTAAAGTTAAAACATGGTCTGATACAATATGAATAAAGAATTTCAACTACGATCCAGGTACAAACACAGGTATCAATCAATTCAAAATTAAATTTTTACACAATAAGAAGATAACTTAAAAAAAAGGGTAATTGAAGAGCTTAAAAGTGGTGTATATTTTGTTAGCTTACGTTGTTGCCTTTCCAAGCACGGTAAGTTCTGACCAGAGGAGGAGCAACGGCATCCCCGGCAGCGGCGCCGCCGGAGCTCGGCGGCGGCGGAGGGTGCAGTGGAAACATTGGTTGCGAGAATTGCATGTGACAATAATTACTACGTTAATTGAAAGGAAATGTCAAAGGAGGCTTTTGTGTTTGATTTTTAAATTTGGAAAAATGTGATTTATTGCAACAGTTGAGTTTAGTTGAGTTGGGTAGGTTAATTAGTTGACTTTTCCATCTTTTGTGAAATAATAATATCAATTGTTAAATTGCGACCCCACCCAATAATTTGGCAGATCAACCGTCCTTGTTGAACGGCCGGTCAATTAATACAACTATACTACTTCACAACACAAAAGTCCACTTCCAAAACAACTTCTCAATTATGTATTTTTTTTTTTAATTCATGGATGATATTTTGCAAATTTCATCACCTATTTTTTACAATCATATATTTTATTATCTAATTTTTTTAAAATTTTTTCAAATTTTATCATCTTGTTAAGTGATCCATAACATGATATATTAATTATTTACCTGACTTGAAATGTGTTACACCAATTATTAACATGACTACATGAGGGACAAAAAAGTACAGTTAAACATTTTAATTAAATAACGCTTAACTAATTAAAATGCTTATTAATGTAACCAACACTGTATCTTGGAATTGGATTTGGAAGATTTATACGTCTGAGAATATTAAATTTTTCGCTTGGCAGGTTTGCGATAATACTCTGCCATCTCGCGTGTTTCTCCCAAACTCGATACTTTGCTTAAGATATTATGTATAGCAAATGTGGATTTGTGATTGAAGACCTGTCACATATTTTCCTTGTTTGTGGGGGTGGCTTGTGTATTGGAGTGGCCAACTTTGCTGCATATATAATGCATATGTTGAACACGAGATCTTGTGTTTACTTCTTTATGGCTACTTTGCAAGTCTCATAATGAGTAGTGATGGCAACAAGATGAAATTGTATGAATTTTACTATCTTCGTCTTTAGTTTTATTTTTGTATTTTATGTATGTCCTTATCTTTGTCCCCATATACTTGAGGGATATAAAATTTGTATTCTCATCTCTATCTCTATCAGTTATCGAATATATTTTTACTTGTTTAGAAATTAATTAAATATTTTTTTAAAAAATATAAAAAAAATTTAACATAGAATAACAATTACAAAATTACATTAATTAAGTATTATTTGACATAAATTTAACATAAAGTAGAAATAACATAAATGTCAAGTAAATTTTTTCAAAAATAAATTAAATTCATAGAAATTTAAAGTGGATATAACTACAGGTACTGGTACGAGTATGGGTACGAGGCGGGGAAGAATATACTCATCCTCATCCCCATACCCAATTTAATAAATTGGATATTACTTGTACCCATACCCAAACCTAGTTAAATCGAGTATTGTTATCTCCTTGACAAGTGTATCAAATCGTACAAGTAGTTCAATAATAAGTATGAGTATCATCTCCCAAGGAACTTACACAATACTTAGCAAAAACCATTGATTACACTAAATTGAGCTATTGGAAATTAAAATTTTGATTGGTTGTAAGAAATAAAGTACTTGAACAAGATAAATGTCATGAGAAGTCTTTTTTTGAAATTTTATGAACACTTAAAATGCAAAAAACTGATTTTAACACAATAATTAAAAATATTGGAGTTCAACTTCACCAAACATTCCTCTCATGTTTACAAACAAGCTCAAACTAGTTATAATTCATAATTTATCTATCACTCACAAGTATAACTAACCCTAATTTCTTACAAGTTGGAATCTAAACCCCTTGATTAATCTATCAATTCCTTGAATAGCTTAACTAAGAAACCAGCTTTAAAAATAAGAGCTAAAGAAAGACTAATGATATTTACTGCATTCCTAGATATGAGCACCATTAGTTGCTCTACTTCAATTCAAAGATTCACAAGTATTTTTCTATCACTTTAAAACCCAAAGTTCAAGTTAAAGGAGATAAATCATAACAAGCATTAAGTAAAAAAGATAGAAAAATAAAACTAAATAACAACTAAGATTGATAACTTAAAGAGAATACATGAGAACGAGTTAGGTTACATTAAATCCTAACAAGGGAGAGTTTAGCTACACATAAACATGTAGAACACTGCAAATGATGAAGAAAAGAGGAAACTTGATCTTGAAGGCTCTAAAGCTCTCCAGCCACCACACAGCCTTCAAGAAAGGTTCTCTAATATGATTGTCCTCAAATTTCTGCTCACTTAGGTCATAAAACCTTTTGTCTCATCTCAATAATGACATGTCAACACTTTTGGCACCAAGCATGTGCTACCACACTCAACGTGGACTCAAAACAAAAAGGGAGGGACCTCTAGAGCTGTGACACTTAGTGTCAATTTCCACGCTTAACATGGTGATTGAATTTGTTCCAATGAATCTCTACCATGTTGATGGAAGGAAGTAGTGGCATGTTTCCATCACATGTTGAGGTTGAGCATGGAGACAGCCAAAAATTTCTTCTCTCTTGAATCTACATCAATTGTCACTTGCTTCTCTCAATGTGTTCCAACATTCTTCTCAACTACAAAATAACAACAAAAAGCTTGTAAGTTACCTACTAATGTGAGTTAGAGACTAAAGTTAACTTTCTACAAAAAATAAGTTAAATCTTAGGCAAATCAAGGTCTCAAGTCAAGAAAAATTGAATAAATGCTTCAAATTGTACTAAATTAGTGAAATTATAGCACTTATCAAATATTTCCCCTTAAAGTCGGGGCGGGTTTGAGTATTATCCACATGTATGAGTTTATTTTCCATCCCAAATAATAAAGAGGTATTCAAACAAACCTATTCTATAATTCATGTAATTCTTCATTAAGTGACCATGTTGAATGTTATAATAAGTGCAACGTTTGATAATAAACTTAGTCTTAATCAGTAGGTTGTGTGGGAGGAGAGAAGGGTCTCATGTGCTTTGCCTTAGGAGTCTCAAGTGACGATGCTCTTGGCTATCCTAGCCCAACTGGCCCAACTAGGTTTGGGAGCCTACTTCATGATGCTTATGGAGCTTGCATATAACTATCCTTAATGCTTCTAACACTTATGGAACCTCACTCCACTTTAAGTGGGTTGGTAGAATATTAAGACAAGTTGGTCTACATTATTACCCACAATCAAGCTAGATTTAAGTATGTGTTAGCCTTTGTTAAAAATATTCAAATATGTGTGAGCCTAACATTTGAATTTCTGACTTGAGCTTTATGAAAGCCCGATTTAACCTAAAAGTTTGTTTAAAATTTTATTTTGTGACAATGTTTATAAAAAGATTGAAAATCACATACACATATATGAAGTTAGCATCAATGAGTTTATATATCTCTTGATATTATTATGTATTATATATATATATATATATATATATATATATAGAGAGAGAGAGAGAGAGAGAGAGAGAGAGAGAGAGGGGGGTCAAAGAATTGTGTTATGGATGAAGATCAAGCTACTAAAAGAGTAACTTTTGGTAAAGTTACAATATTCAATAACTCATGTATATGTTGAATTTAAATAATCCAACCATTAATTCAAGGTAGAATTATCCAATTGTTAATTTGAATTTATGCAACAAAGTATTAAATAAATTTTAAACTTTACAAAAAATTTAAATTTGAAATATTCAAGAAGAATAATTAATTTCAACAATAAAAATATTTAATTTAACAATGAGATTGTTAAAATCCAATGTATATAATAATTTACTGTATATAATATATTCACTCACCACAGAAAAAAATATCATCTAGTGATACATTTTATAGTGACATAATATTTGTCACTAAAAATTATTTTTACATATATTATAAGTACAAATATGTTAATATATTGTTAAAAAAATGTAAGTATATGTTATAGTGTCATACAATAAATATTGATGAATCTTATTCAAAATTAACACTTAAATTATGTGTAACTATATGTCAAATAAATTTATATTTACATATATTATATTTATAATGAAATTTTTTATATGTTACTATATATAATAATTCTTGCAGTGTGATTATATATATATATATATATATATATATATATATGATAATTATGTATGTATAATATAATATAACAATATGATATTAAAAAATTATGTTACATATGTAATAAAAAAGCCAACCTATAATGTTCAATACAGATTTTTTTTAAGATCTAAGTTTTAACCTTTTCATTTAAATACACTTTTTAAAAAGTTAAGTCTAACTTTTTAATTAATAAATAAGTTACGCTACGCCATTGATAGAAAACCTAGCCTATTTGACTATTTCTATCCTTATCCACTGAGTTTAATTAGTTTGGTGTCATGGTATGTCTTCTAGTGTGTTTTGAAAATAATTTGCATCACTGTCAATAAGGATTTCCACTTTTATTTGTAATATTTATTTATAAGTTAAAATTTAATATTTTTTAAAATAAATTATCAATAATTAAAAAATGTTATACCACAATATAGAATTTATATATTAAAAATATATCTATTTATACAAATTTTATATATAATTTATATATTTAAATATAATATTTATTTGTATATATAACTTATTATAAAATTTAGTTATATATAATAAATATATATATATATTAGAATACTTGAATATCAATCTACCAAATATCAATTGTAGTTTACTTTTCCCTATTAGAACATCAAAAGCTGGTATAAAAAATCATCTTTCAATCTAAATAAGATATTTTCGTTTTTTAATTTTGTACAATATTTTAGTTATAATTATTAATTATATTATCAAT